TGGCTGGGACCCGACCCTCAGGAGCCTGGAAGCCTGTGACCTGACTCAGGACCCATACTTGGGACAGACATCTTTAGGCACTTCTCCCCCACACACGGGTGTAGAGGAACGGGCAGGGAATAGATTTGGGAGGACATGGCTGGTTCTGGTAAAAGGGACAGGAAAGAACAGAGGTGGGGAGTGTGTGCGTGTACAGGAAGGAGCTGATGCCCGGGGGGTCAGGACCAGGCAGCAGAGGAGGGAAAAGGGTCCCAAGAGCTACGTCCCCCTCTCTGAAGCAATGGAGATCCACGGAGAGCTCTTCTCCAGGCTGGGCTGCAGACTAGTTGATAGAGTGCTTGCCTGCCTACTGTGCAGGACACCCTGGGTTCAGTTCCCATAAAACCAGGGGTGGGGGTGGGGGGTGCCTGTAATTCTAGAGCTTGTACAGTGGGAGCAGGAGCACTGGAGACTAAGGTCCTCATCAGTTATATGCAGAGATTTCCAACAGGCTCTGGCTGTTCTTTGCCATCATCCTTTTCTTGGTCCAGGGCTGCATCACGGGGGCATCTTGACTTTCTGGACTGATCGTGCAGCAGGGTTTCTTTTCTTTTCTTTTCTTTTCTTTTCTTTTCTTTTCTTTTCTTTTCTTTTCTTTTCTTTTCTTTCTCTGTCTCTCTCTTTCTTTCCTCCTCCTCCTCCTCCTCCTCCTCCTCCTTCTTCTTCTTCTTCGGTGTGTGAATCCTCCTGGTCCCCAATATCCCACAGTGATGGCAGCTGCCTCTGGTCTCCAGCCAGACAGAAGAAAGCTAGGGGCTACATGAGATCCTGTCTCAATACACACTAAAATGTCCACTCAAAGGTGACAAGGGACAGGCTGCTAGGTCCCTTCTAAGAGGCTGTCCCTGGAGTACCATTCCATTTTAGAACAAAGTGAGCCGAGAAGTTCTGATCCTACAGTGACGATTTCTCGGCTTCTCGAGAACCTGAGGACAGTGCCCTGGAACTCTGCAGCACCCTACACAGCAGCCACTCAGGCTGTCACCTCCTCCAGCAGCCTCCTGGATTTACTACTCTTGCCCTGGCCCCCAGGGCTTTGCTGAGTCACCCACAGTCAGCTCTCCTAGCCTGGCCTGCCCTTTCTTCTGCCTGGCTGGAGGCCAGAGGCAGCTGCCATCACCGCAGGATACTGGGGACCAAGAGGATGCACACACCGAGAGAGAGAGAGAGAGAGAGAGAGAGAGAGAGAGAGGGAGGGAGGGAGGGAGGGAGAAAGAAAAGAAAAAACCTGCTGCACGATCAGTCCAGAAAGTCAAGATGCCCATGATGTAGCCCTGGACCAAGGAAAGGATGATGGCAAAGAACAACAGAGCCTGTTTAGAAAACACACCCACTTCACTGTCTGATGCACCCACAGCAGCAGGGACATGAAGGCCTTCAGCAGCTAGCTCAGGCTCCTTCTGGTCTAACCTCACCTACGTTCTTGGACTTTCCTTTCCCCATCCTGCATTTACATCCCAATTAAAACTGGACCAACAACTGCTGCCTCCACTCCTTCTGGCCTGCACCCGACCCCCTCTTTCCACCCCTCTCTACCTACTGGAGTGCACAGGACCCCTGCCCCTCTTCAGCAGACTCCTTTCAACTCCAAGGACCAGGGACAAGAGGAGCCCCTTCCGTTTGCTGCCGAATATTCACTGTCCCAGGCTTCCTTTGGTCAAAGGGCCAAGCCCTCCATGACCAGTGTCAATCCAAAAGTAGAACCAGGCTGGAGAGGCCCCTGGGCCCACTTACAAAAATCTTATCACAGGCATTGAGGGGATACCAGCTGCATTCCCCAAGACACACATCTCTTCTGTACTCAAACTTACAATGTCCGCATTCCCCACTGCCCGTCTGCGTCTTAAGTCGCCAGCCTTGTCTTCCCAACACCCCATGACAGAGGGCCATCCCTGGGGCCCCAGGAGCACCTCACCCTCCACTGGACTCCAGGACCTGGCCCTCTGGGGCTCAAGGAACCTGGCTCTACGTCCGACTTCTACCAGTTATCAAGGTCCCGATTTCTAACTAGGACTTCCATCAGCACATGAGCTAGCTGAACCATCTTCTAGAAAACAAAGCACTTATGACATATTAGTCCTGCATCTCACCGTCCACAGGTCCCCTCATCCTACCTCCCAGTGAAGAGCCAGGATGGGGAAAGGAAAGTCCGAGAGTGTAGGTGAGGTTAGACCGGAAGGAGACTGAGCTATGTCTCCATCCACCCATAGCTCTCGCTACTGAACTGAGAACAGAATTACTATGTGTCGCCTTCAGCTCTGGCTAACGAAGGCCAAATCAGGTAGGTAGATTCACTGTACTCTCTTCCCTACAGCTGACACATGAGCCCAGTGGCTTCAGGTGACAATTGTAGGGTCACAAGCAGGAAAGGGCTACATTCCCTTGGAGGACAGCCATCCACCAATCAGTAGCAACCATCTAGGACTTTACACAATTAAGAAGCTTCTAGGCTGGAGAGACTCAACAGTTGAGAGCATGTACTGCTCTTCCAGAGGACTGGAGTTCAGGTCCCTGTATCCACATCCAGCAGCTCACAACTGCCTATAACTCCAGTTCTAGGGGTTCTGTACCTCTTCTGGCGTGTGTGTGTGTGTGTGTGTGTGTGTGTGTGTGTGTGTGTGTGTGTGTGTGTATACATACACACAGTAAAAATGTTTTTTATTTTTTTTATTTTCAAAGAGCTTCCATGTCAGGAATGGTAATGTAACCTATCCCAGCACTCAAGAGGTAGGGACAACAGGATCAGGAGTTTAAGGCTGTCCTCTCTTACCTAGAGAGTTCTAGTGCTACATGAGAACCTGTCCCACAAACACAGAGTGCTGGGGCTATACCTCAGTCGGCAGAGTGCTTACCTAGCACTCATGAAGCCCTGGGTTCAATCTCCAGCAGTGCATAAATCAGCGGTGGTGATGCCCGCCTGTAATCTCGTCACTTGGGGTGGAGCCAGGAGGTCTGAGGTCAACCTGGAACGAGACCTTATTTCGGAAAGAGAGCAAGAGAGACTTTGAGAATCATCTTGGGGACAGCTTGTCAGAGCAGTGGATGACTGATCCACACGATTTCCAGGTCTCCAGCCTCTCGTTGGATGCTCCTGGAATGTGTCGCCTGTATGCCCTGATCCCACTTCCTATCTTCCAGTCTTCATGTGACCCCTGCACCTGTCTGGATTTCACCCCACCCTTTGCAACAGTCGCTTGGGACATGGTCATCAGGGAAGTTCACATGGCCAGGTCCAGTCCCCAGACTCCACCTCCCCTGTCTTCAGCACTAATGTTCACCCTGCTTCAGGAATGCCGTGCTGGGCTATATTTCATTGCTGACCATTCCTGTCCTCACATCTCTCTGGCTGGTCTCCTGCTCCATGCCTGGTCAAGGGTTTGGCTTCCACCACACCTCTTTCTATGAAAGGTCTCTGTTGGCCTGTGACTTCACATGCTCTTTGTCCCCAAGTCACTCCAAGGTGCCACCACCTGAATGGCTCAGGGATATGCTGAGCTCACCCACTCAGAGCTGGGGATAGCCACTGAACTCTGACCTTCTCCTTCCCCAGTACACCTCACCTTTGTGACTGGTCCCATCACCCACCGCCTGACCACAGTTTTTCCTCTTCCATACCCAGAACTACCTTGAACCCACACCAGTCAGTAAGCCTGGTGCCCACAGGCTTCTCTCCTGCCTCTCTGTGCCAGCCCTCACCACCATTTCTGTTCACACTCTGCTCCCACGGCTTCCTGGGGGACATTTCCTCCACACATTCCCCTTGGCCAGGCTGTTCTCCTCCCAGCAGCCAGGGAATCCTTCAAAGAGCAGGCAAGCCGAGCTGGAGAGGTGCTCCATGGTTGAGTGCTTGCTGCTCTGCTAGAGGACCATGGCCCCTGGCGCCTAACACAGGATTCAGTGTGAGGTTTGGCAGTGTCGTAACAGGTGGGAGGAGGCGATAGAACAGGGGCAAAATCCTCGGAATTAGTTCAGCTTAGAGACACGTGAGACTGGGAGCTGAAGAGCCAGGGTGTGAACTGTGACTCCATCCCAGACTGAGGGCTGTGTGATGATGGGCAAAGAATTGATCCTAAGACAAGGAGACCCAGGGAAGAGACAGAGCCTCAATAGTTTAGGACATTTGTCTAGAAGGGGCATATGGTAAAGTCAAAAAAGCTTATTGAGGCTCAGAACAGGGAATCAATGGAGAGCAGGATCAGTGGCAGCTTCAGGTGGCCAGTGAGGCCCATGGACTGGACGGCATGGGTACGCACAAATCCCCAAGCATAGGCTACCGTTCAAGCTAGCATCATGACAGCCCTGAGACCGTAAGTGTCAGCAAACTGCACGTTTTGCAACTCTGTGGGTTCGATGTCCAGGTTTCGGCACCAAAATGTAGGTAAAGTGCACGTTTTTCGACTCTGTGGGTTTGGTGTCCCAGGTTTCAGCACCAAAAATGTGAGTAAATTTCACCAAAAATGTTAGTAAACTGATTGCAAAAACTCTAGGTTTGGTGTCAGGCAACATCTTGAGCTGCTTAGGTCAGCTCTGACGGCTGAACTGGAGCGAGTCTCAGCAAAGATCTGTTCAGCTCCTCCCTGCCCTGCCTTTTCAGCCCCCCGCACCTCCCCCCCCCCGCCCCGGGCCTCTTGTTTTGTCCACTGGGGAACTTCTCAGCAAGAATCTTCTCTACGCCAGTGAATGAAGATCTTCACACCCAAAAAACTCTTTTGTGGAAGAGATTTATTTGGAAAGGAGGAGTCCAGGAGAGTAGCTGCCTCTACCAGGGTGGAGAGAACAGCCTTTTTTCTAACTGACTAGGCTGAGCAGTTTACACAGGAAGTCTTGAGGGTGGAGTCAACCCCTGGCCCAGGGTTCTACTATCCTGCTCTGTCATTGGTTGGTTTCACAAGTCAGTTGGCCCCGGGGAAGAGATCTGATGTCTCTGATCTGACTGAGCCAAACTGTGTTTCTTTCTGCCCTGATCTTTCCCTAGTTCTGGGCTCCAGGGTCAGGGTGGGTTTCTTTAGCCAGCCCCTTTTCCCTACAGCAAGGCCTCCCAGCCACCTCGCCTGGGTTAGAGCACAGCATAGTCCTGAGGTCCCTGTAAGGTGGGCAGGAGCCCTGAGGGCTGACAGCCCCAACACCCTTAGTGGCAAGACTAGGGCCCAGGTCTTGGGAAACAGAGGCCAGGGCCATGAGGGCAGCTGGGGGAAGAAGTTGAGACTTTCATTCGCAATGCCGTTGGCCTGGTTAAACTTTGAAAAAATGATTACTAAACCTTCTTCTATTAAATGACTCCTAGTCACACTTTAATTCTAGTCAGAGTGACTTCTCCCTCCCCCCTCCTTGCTTCCCGAGCCTGTTTTTTGCTTTTTGTATTTTTCCTTTCTGGGAGCCAGGGTCTGCTGTGTCTCTGAGAGGACCTCGAGGCCTCTAGATTACAGCAGAGGGTTCTAGGTCTGAGGGTGAGCCGCCCCTAAAAACAGCCAGCAGGCAGATACCAAGGAGCCTTGGTCGGCTCTGACTGGGTGACACGGTTGTCCTGACGTGCCCCCGAGGAGATGGGCGTGGGCAGAGCTGTAAGGGAAGGAGACTCATCAGACTGACCCGGGGGTCCTGGGCCAGCCTCTGTGAACTGGCAGTTGCATGGTGATACCCAGGAGAAATCCATGGCATTTTCTGAACTCCTGGACCGAGTAGGGGGCCTGGGCAGGTTCCAGGTCCTCCAGACTGTGGCTCTGGTGACCCCCATTTTGTGGGTCACCAGCCAGAACATGCTGGAGAACTTCTCAGCTGCTGTGCCTCGCCACCGCTGTTGGGTGCCCCTTCTGGACAACAGTACTGCCCAGGCAAGTGTCCCTGGGGACTTTGGGCCCGATGACCTTCTGACCGTCTCCATCCCACCTGGCCCTGCTCAGCAACTCCACCAGTGCCTCCGCTTCCGTCAACCTCAATGGCAGCTTATGAAGACCAACACCACGGCCACCAACTGGAGTGAGGCGGACACTGAGCCATGTGAGGACGGCTGGGTCTATGACCGCAGTGTCTTCACGTCCACGATCGTGACCACAGTAAGAGTGCTTGGGAGGTCAAAATCACAGTCACAGTTGCCTGGACTTAGTGTTCCAGTCTCAAAAAGGATATACCTCCCCAGGCCTCCTCACTGTGGGTGGAGGGGATGGGGTGGGGGCAACCAAGACTTGCAGGGGACTAAGAGCAAGAGTCCATCTGCAAAGTTAGATTTAGTCAGTTGTGCTTGTGATCCCAGCCCTCGGGAGGCAGAAGGATTATCATGAGTCTGAGGCCAGCCTGAACTACTCAGTGAGTTACGTTTACACAGACTGGCCTGGGGTGGCACCCCTGTTTCTGCATCACCCCACGGCTTTATCCATAGCTGAGCCTTGGCTGGGACTCCAGGTCACCCAGTCTCAGGAACCTGTTGGCTGTCTCTAGGCTGAGGGCACAGGACCCGGACAAGCACTGGCCTCTCATGAGAGGTGTTGGCAGGCTGGGGAGATAAATCAGCTTGTCCTGTAAGAATGAAAATCTGAGTTAGCTCTCCAGCACCCATGAAAAACATGGGCCAGGTGGCGGCATGACTGTAATATCAGCTCTAGAGAGGCAGAAACAGGGCGGCTCCCGGGGCTCACTAGCAGCCAGCCCGGTCTAATCAGTGAGCCCCAGGTTCAGTGAGGAGACGATGTCACAAAAATAAGGTAGACAGTTCAGAGATTGACCTCTGACCCTCACAAGCACTGCACCGTGCACAGACACACATTCTCTATGCACACACACACAGACACACATTCTCTATGCACACACACCCACACACAGAAAGAGAAAAGGAGGAAGAGAAGGAGGAAAAAGAGGAGGAGGAGGAGGAGTCAAACAGTCCAAGCTAATGGAGAGGGGCAACTACCCCAGCAAGCAGGAAGGAGGAAGGTCCCTGGGTTTGAGCGCACGCGTGTGTGTGTGTGTGTGTGTGTGTGTGTGTGTGTGTGTGCGTGCAAAAGAAAGCAAGCCTCCAGGGAAGGTGGAGGGCTCTCAGCTAAGAGCCATGGCTCAGGAGGCAGCAGATGAGGCTGGAGGGGTCCTGACCTTTGACCCAGTAGCAAGGGTGACAGGATAATTCTTAAGAGCCCAAGCTACTAAGCCTGTGGGTGCCTCACGGCCCTGCCCACACCCAGCTCCCTTCTAGCTCCTTTGCCCCTAACTGCCCTCCTCCTGATGTGAGCTCTGGCCTTCTTTTCTTCCAGTGGGACCTGGTGTGTGATTCCCAGGCCATGAGACCCATGGCCCAGTCCATCTACCTGGCTGGAATCCTGGTAGGAGCCGCCGTGTGTGGCCACACCTCAGACAGGTGAGTGTGCCCAGCTGGTCCAGGCAGGCTCTCCTGAATGGACCTGACATTCTCTCTAAGCCATAGGCTCACCAGTTCGAGGGGTCACTGTTTCTCTCCAAATTTTCATTCCTAAAATCTGCTCTGCCACACACCAGCCTTCAGACACTGCTTGGGTGCTCCTGCCAGGCCTGACTTGAGCCTTCTTGTGCTCATAACCGCCCCATGGGTAGAGAACACGAGTCTGGCCCCACGTGTGGCTTTGTGCCGTCCTCATTCAGGGGGCAGGAACAGGATGGCCCTTCCCGGCCCAGGTCTTTGCTGCTGGCCAACGGTATGCCTCCCCATGTGTCTGTCCTGCAGGTTCGGGCGCAGGAGGGTGCTGACCTGGAGCTACCTTCAGGTGGCTGTGTCGGGCATCACAGCTGCCTTCATTCCCATCTTTCCCCTCTACTGCCTGTTCCGTTTCCTGGTGGCCTCCGCAGTGGCGGGTGTCATGATGAACACAGTCAGTCTCTGTATGTCCCCCGTCGGTGCTGGGTTGGGGAGGCTGAATGCACACCCCAGGATTGAGCCCTTCTTTCCACCTGGCAGTGATGGAGTGGACATCAGCCCGGGGCCGCACCTTGATGATGACCTTGAACTCCGTGGGCTTCAGCTTTGGCCAGGTCCTGACAGGTTCTATGGCCTACGGTGTGCGCAACTGGAGGATGCTGCAGCTGGCTGTCTCTGCGCCCTTCCTCCTCTACTTTGTCTCTTCATGGTGGGTGCTGCAGCCTCCTTGAAGGACGCTCTGCCCACTCTCGGGGGTTCAATGTGGGAGACGCTCCTCTGCAGACAGAGGGCTTAGGAGCCCTGGGGGTCAAGAGCCTCAAGAAGCTCACCACTGCTGCCCAAAGCCCAGATGTCCCTGCTCCAACTCGCCCTCAGCAAGCCAGCTGCCATCTTTCTGTGGTCCAGCAGCAGACTGGAGTCCACACAGTCCAAGCTCCCTTCCTCAGGGGGTCTTGCTAGTTAGTGACTCCAGCCCCTTTCATATGCTGCAGACCCCAAATCTGCCTCAGCTTACCTCATCCCCACCCTTATACCCTCCCTCAGCATCTCCAGTCCCACCTGGACTCATACCTCCAGCCTCAGGTCTCCAACTACCTGCATGACCCCTCCTCACCCTGACCCCTCCTCACCCTGACCCCTCCTCACCCTGACCCCTCCTCACCCTGACCCCTCCTC